TCCCCCTTGAGTTCCCTTTCCAGCACTTCCGACTTATTGTCCTGTATTTCCTTTTAATTTGTATACACCCTTCCCAGTTTTCCCAGTGCTATTTTATTTTTGACCTTCTGGCATCCTTAAAAGGTTTAGTCAGATAACAAACTTCCTTCTATTTACTACAACAGCTTTGCCTTAAATTAGGCTCTTATTGTTATTTTTTCAGACTTTGTTGCCAATGTCACTATAATAATAGAAATCCTAAATGAGTCAGACTAATTACTAATGCTTCCTATCATTTTTTTAATACAATCATTTGGAGCTACTAATATTTAGGCCCTTAAAAACCCAAAGCTTTGAATGCCAGGAAGCACAAACTGTAACAAAGAGACAAAAAACCCAGAAATCTCTGATACATAATTGTATTGGCATCAAAATGAATCCAAGACACCCGAGGCCCTTTAAATTATCTCAGTTAAAATGTAAAACCCTCACTTAATGTGTCTTTACAACCTACCCTTGCTTAAGCAAAGAGCAAAACAGTTACCTTCTCTGCCTGGCCTTTTAGACAAATTTAGCAAATAGAAACAAACTAAATCAAATCAACAATCCAAAGTTCAGATCTTCTGTACAACAGAATATTTCAGGGGCTTGTCACTGAAAATATAAAACTGGACTCACAAACAGATTCTCCCCCATCACACAGCTGTGACTGTTAGTTTTCAACAACCTCAATAATAATTCTGAAAATGCCAGTGTTGGGTTTATCTAGGCACAAGCCCCGCTGGAACACGGGACCAACTAACTGCACGATAAAACAAGGCTAGACAGAACTCTTTGTCTTTGTGGCTCGCGAGGTTAGTCAGTCAAAGTTGAGGAAAAGATTCCTTCACCTGAACTCAACCAACTTCAACTGATTCCTTTGGCTACAACACTTTTTATTGTCAGCAAGCAATCATTCTTGAATATGCAATTACAAATACTTTCTTAAGTATTCTTCAGCAACATCAGTGTCTGTATTGTGGGTGTGTTTCCAGCCATACTATACATAGACATACGAATTTCAATTAACTTAAACTGTATGCAGAAGTAAGCGTCTTGCTAAACTATAAGAACAGGAACCTGCAACAGGTCATGTCTCAAATACATATTTAAAGGTGTGAACTCTCAAACTTTTAAGAAAATGGAACAGTCTGGTTTCAAAAGCTATAATGGAACTATAACGTCGAGACTGCTTCCGCTCATTTCATGGTACACAAGTGCACACAGACTCTTATCAGACCTAATAAGGATAGGATACTTTATCAGCATACAAATGATTAAATATTTCTAAGCATAAATGACAATCTTAAATTATTAATTGTGACAGCCAGCCTCTATAGCCAGAGGAAGAACACCAGCTCTGGCTCCTAAATAAGTGATACGCACTATTTGATTCCCAGCCAACTATTTATTTGATACAAACAAAAATGTGGTCTGTTTAGGCTAAAGTACATTGGCCTGATTACCTGTTTAATGTGAAGGCCATGACCCACTCATTACTCCAATCACCATCAGTGTTTATCTAGACACAAAAATAAACCACCAACAAACCAACTGATATCAAGCATTTGGGGACTTGTCCCCTCAAACAATGGTTTCATTGTGACCCTAAATGTGATTTAAGTCAGAGCACAGTCATAACTGTCCTTCAAAGAGGGCTAATGGTGAAAAACATAGACTCCACCTCTAATATCCTACATAAATAACTTTTAAATGTGCTCTTGCTACTTTATTGTTTTATATTTCTCAATGTGCACACCAGCACGCCACACCACAGCTTCTGAATATTCATTTAACAAATAAACATGCACATCAAAACCTTGAGTTTCCTTAAATAGCTCCTTGAATATAACAAATCTGAACGGACACATATAAACATGCTGTGCATGTTGGCGAGAGCATGGCTGACATTAATTAGCAGGATGTGGGAGTGCACGATAGGTCATGAATCCATACAAGCTGGTGTTGTGCCAAAAAGTAATTTACTGTATATGCCAAAAGTCTTCTGCAAGTATTTAAACTATGGGAAATAAGTTGTTGGCCTATAATTTGTCAAACATATCGTTTGTGAATGATATCAAGTCAATTTGTGCAACAATGAACAACTTCTCGTCACAAGGTAGAAGCTGCAATCACTTTTTTAGCAAAGACACTTTCATATATCCTTTGCTTATCCAGGTAAAAGCACTCATTGAGATTAAAAATGTCTTTTTCAAGAGAGATCTGACCAAGAGGGCAGCAGAAATTGCAAAAGGTACAACATAACATTTCTATAAAGATATTTCAAGTGGCCAAAAAGGACTGTATTGGTTGCACTAGAACACTAAGTAGGTACATTAACGCAATCTCTTGCAAAAGAACGTGGATTATTGCAAAAACAGTTATTTCTTTATAACACATATAACCTATTAGTAGTTCCTGTTAACTACAACCTATTTACCAACATGAGCAAAGATATTCGACATTAAAAAAAAAAACACATGGAAACACCGGAAATCACTTTTTGACACAACCCCAGCGGCTGTGTTCGTCACTGTAAACAGAGTAGCCTAGCCAACCTGCCGTTCTGCCTTGTTCTTCTTCTGTCCTTCAAAACACGCACGCGTGTGCGGTTATTTGCGGACACATAAAATAACACTACTTTCCAAATGTAGCGGTAACAAGCGGGAAAAAGCTGGACTTAAACACTGGTGCCTGATTCCTTTGTGTGCGCACGAAGACCAGACAGGAGACGTCAACACAGCTCAGCGGAAGAGCAAGCTAGCACTGACCTCTCACCTACTTTTACTTTACTCTCCCCCGCGCTGATTTTAGGGTCACGTTAGGGAGAATAACACTGCTGTTGCAACTGTCTCTTCGCTAAAAAAAAACATGCTGTGTTTTCGTTGTTGTCTCAAAACTTCCTGGCGTTAGCAGTCCTGCATACCTTTCTGAGGGACTCCTTTAATGCAAAGTGCTCTTGTGTGTAGATTAAATGGTCGGCCGCAGTCTCTGGGGCACTGGACTTTACTTGTTTAGATGACACTTTCTCAGTCAATGAGCGGACACCACCACCCAGTGAAGTTAACTTGTAAAAATGACGGCTTCTGACCAGCACGTTTAAACGCAGGGCTCCTTCGCGCAGCGCCATCTCTGTTAACAATATGTACGTGTGTGCGCATGCGCTGGTAGGAAGTTCTCACTGGATCAAATATTAACCCAGTGAGAAAGTAAAATATTAGCAAAGCTTGACTTCCCACCATTATTGGGGGAAAATTTTGTCATAAAATATATCGTAAATTGGGTACCCTGGTGTGTAAATAATTACTCTATCACCAGCAAGCATTGAAAGTAGCCATGTAAGTTATCTAACGTTGTACTATCATCAACGTAATAGCAAGATTTACTATCGTATTTGGCTGTGGGTTTTATTTTTAAAGTATTTTGAGCCCAAATGCAATTAATTTTTATTTTTATTATGGATTCATTTTACTAATAATTATGCTGTCTGACAGAAAGCGTGTTAAAGCGTGTTGCAGAATAGGAAAGAAATGAAACATATTATGATACTCATTTTATATCCTGGAGGGCTTTATAGCAGAAATAATCTGCAAATTGAAAGCGGCTTTGGAGAAAGTCCTATTTTCCACAGGATTGGTTTTAGATAGACACAACATTTTCTTTTTCTATCAGTGCTGCATCTAGTCTGCTGTGTTCAGTTCAATTACTTGTATTAATAAAGCCTTAAAACTTTTTGGAGTCTTCCTGAAACTACAGAAAGAATTAAAATAAATTCAATCTACAATGAAATGAGCAAAAAAAAAAAGAAGAAGGAGAAGACTTGCAAACCCGTCGTACTTTAGGGAATAAGATCTCAAATTTGATGTTCACCATCATTATTGGAACAAAATAATAATGATCACATAAAGACTTGGAGAGAGAAAAACCCTCTGTATGTATGCAAATGAAGTTATGAAGATTTATCTGTTTCTCTACTTTGTCTACAACCCTTCAGAGAATCACAGAGACAGGCTGAATTATAAATGTGCACATTTAATGACAGTTGCTTCTGTGAATGAAACAACATATGGGCCCATGTGCTCAGACTATATACACCACATGAGAGAGAAGCATTATGTAACACTTGCCAAATACAACTTTTAATTAGTGCAGCTTTCCCAAAACAAAACAAAAAAAACAAAAAAATTTAAAAAGAATTAGAAGGCTACAAATCTGGCCCCAAGATGAAGAATTGTTTTACTCGGGAAGTCATAAATGTTTTCTTTATTGTGTCCTTCTAGTCATCTCAGTCTGCAAATCCATTTTACAAGGGCTGGGTGAACGTCCTTGGGTACTAATCTGAGATATGAAAAGCTCCTTAGGTCCAGTCTAGCAGATGACACAGCCACCTTTCTCCTTGAAGGGGTTCTTCTCCTCTGATATGCCTTTGACGAGGGTGTCCTCCTCCACTAGAGCCTGAATATAGTCCTTGATTTCCTCACAGCATTTAGATGTCTGAAAGCAGCAGACAGAAAGCGTATTTCAGTTTTAAATAGCCTTTGTGATGTAATTAGTTTAAATAAATAAATTGAAGCTGTCTGATATTTACTTTTGGATATAATCAAAAACGCATCTTGAGCACACAAATCACCACAGTGTGGACAACTTACCAACCACCTCTCGAGTTTGACTTCAAGTTTAAGCTGGTTTACTTCCATCACAGCCTTGTCCTTATCTGTCAGATCCTCCACATTTATGACCGGCATTTTCTGTCAAAAAAAAAAGGAAACGTTTAACCTTTTTGTTAATGCTTACTTCCACATGATAAATAAATAATCTTAAAGAAAATGTTCACAATTCGTAAGACTTAGCAGAAGGGATAGGAATGCACTTACGAACGCTTACAGGAAGCAGTCCTTCACCCCCGAAATCCTGCTGAAGAATCCCTCTCCTCTCTCTCAATCTGGGTTATAAAGTAATCAGCATAAACAATTCTAATCCCCTAATCTGATTAAAACAAGGCCCCACTGAACGATCATACCAGCAGCTCAAGTACACAAAAGAAGGGGTGGGCAACTCACACAGGTGTCCATTTGAGCTCCCTTGATGTAAAAAACAAAACAAAACACGGTGATGTATTTTTTGTCTTTTATAGATTCAATTTGGAACTTTTGTTCTATTTTAACTCTGAGATTTCTTGCAGGCTCATTTGGATATGGGTTAAGGGGTGGCGCTTCATTTATCAGGTTAATTTTGATAAGACGGCTAATCTGTGTTTAGCCTCCACCTGTCAAGGTGGAGACACGTCGTTCTTCTAAACGTGAATGCACGGCAGTTTTCCAGTTAATATCCTTCATAAAGGTAAAACCAAAGCAGTGGGATGGAATTAAGCTGCTGTGTTAAACCAATACAAATGTTAATGTGAGTTTTAACTTAACTTGCAGATAAGGCTGATTTCTCATGGTAGGACATCGTAGAAAGAAGCACTGAAATAACATGAGCCACGGTACTATTAATGTGACTCTGAGTGGAAGTACGTTTGTGTGTGTGTGTGTGTGTGTGTGTGTGTGGATTTGGATCCGGTCAGACGGGTATTCTGGTGTGGACTTGCCTGTGTAGCTCAGACAAGAAAGATGTGTTAATGTTTCACAAGCGTGTGTGTCCCTAGATACAACGCAATATTGGCTCTGTGGAAATTTTACAAGGATGCTGTGTGTGTTACTGGATTGGTGCACATTCCCATCATCATCATCATCATCATCATCATCACTAGAACCAGTGGCATGTGGCAGTGAAAATATCTGACTCTCTCAAGCAGAGCAGGTTCCTCCTCATATTTTATTAAGACTTAGTCACATGCTTTAGCGCTCCTCCACGTAATTCAGAATGTGACGTCATTAATCAACTGCAATAATTTATTTTCTTTGGCGCGCTGACTCAGTACATGCCCGTCCCTCTTCCTGACTGCTATAAAACAAGGTTTGAGTGGGGCTGGTAGACAGAGCGGAAAAGTCTGGATCTCGACCAAAACTTTGCACAATGGAGCTTTGCGCGTTTGCTCTGTTTACAATAATTTCCTCGTTTTGCTGCGTTTTGGCGCTGCCACCTAAAGGTAACTCCACATCATGTTTTGTTTTTTAATTCCTTCTTCGCGCTTCTTCAATGTTTTCATCAACTTTTTAAAAACAGTTCTGAGCTTGTTGGTTATCACATGACCTCGGGCGTATTACAGATCCAGTTTGGCGTGTGTTGTTAAGCATTGCTTAAACTTTCTTTTCTGTGTCCTTGCAACGGTCCTCCGGTATTTCAATAAAAATATGCTTGGTGCTTTTCAGGCGTGTGCCTTCTTCAAGTGGACGAGGGACCTTGCAGAGGCAATATGCAGCGGTATTACTACAACACCATCACCCAGAGGTGCGAGGATTTCGAATATGGAGGCTGCCAAGGGAATGCCAATAACTTCAAGAGTTATCAGGAGTGCCACAAGACATGCTACAAAATTCCCAGTAAGTAGCCTGACCCGTGAGTTATTAGAGGTGGGAATCAGACAACACATGATATAATATTGATATTATTGCGATTTTTACGAAATTGTCATATGCTGAGTAATGCATTAACATGTATTGCTGTTTACTCACATTTCCAACAGCGATCTATGTCCTCAAAATGAAACTTTGTCAAAATCAGTTTTGTCTAATAAGATAAAGTTATCTCACTTCACTTATTTTTTTTTACTACTAAAACCTAAAGGATAAAGCCAAAGTCAGTGTAATATATCAGTTTGTAATTGAATGAGGTCTTAATTGGGAATTACAGTGGGGGAAATAATGTTAGTAAAGTATGTCAAGTTTGCTTAGAAAGAAATGAACAGACTCTGTTTTTATAGTAGTTTCATTTCAATGGAGAGTGAGACAGGATATCAATCAAAACTCCAGAAATAAGACATTACACAAAAGGTATAAACTGATTTGCATGTCACTGAGTGAAATAAGTATTTAATCCCCTACAAACTAGCCAAAATGTGTCCTGGATGGGTTTCCAGTTGAGCTGATTTAATGCAGGTTTGTAACGTTAAAGTCAACTAACATTATCTCAGAATGGGGATGAATGAAGTGAGCCTACTTGTTCAGATTATTTGAATTTATTTACTTACATATCTATATACCTATATACATATCTATATACATGGTATTCCTGTATCGATACGATACATGGATCATTAGGGATGAAATTCTGGGCCAGTATCCATGTTTTAAGTAACAATTTAGCTGATCTTTAGCTTTTGATTTTCCTACTTAGCCTGCCTTCTCTTCCAGGGGAACAAAATATTGTCATTAAACACGAAATTATTTATGTGATTCTAAAAAAATTTCAACTCTTCTTTACACCATCTTTGAACATTTAGCCAGCCCACAAGACATAAGTTTTGGGCATTAACACAGATAAATTACATTTTCTTTCAGTATCAGCTGACATTCGGCAGATACATCAGTGATGGTGACCTTAGGCATGTCCATTTTATTTCATTTTTAGGAAACTAGCCAGTGCCTCTCTGGTTGTTAACCTGTTCATATGAATTAATTAGTGTTGTTTCGCCAGATCTCACTGTTAAATGTTGATTTTTTTTTTCCATTCTTCTCCACAGAGGTTCCCCCAATCTGCAGATTTCCTAAAGAAGAGGGACCCTGCCGGGGTCTCATCTCCCGATACTTCTTCAACATGACCACCATGCAGTGTGAGCCATTTTATTACGGTGGCTGCCTGGGGAATTCCAACCGCTTCCTTAATCTAGCCTCTTGCATGGAGTACTGCAGTCCAAAAAAAGGTGAGCAGATTACCCCCCTGAGTCATCTCTGTGAGGATACACAATAGACAAAGTCATTGCATTCACAAGGAAATGATTAAACAATAACTGGCGAGCTCTTCCTTGTGTTGTGTTCCTTGTGTTACAGCAATCCCCGTGCTCTGCCGGGATCCTCTGGACAAAGGGAAGTGTTCAGCCACCATACCTCGCTATTACTATAACACAGCCACCAAGACGTGTGAGGAGTTTGTCTACTCAGGCTGCGGTGGGAGCAACAACAACTTTGTCTCGCGGCAAGCCTGCATGGACGTGTGCTCAAAAGGTGTGCAAACCTGAGCCGGGCGGGAAGGGTGCATGGGCGTATGTTTCACAGCTCATTGTGAAGTCTTTATCTGAAGATGATAATTTCAGGAGAATTTTCTGACTGCTTAATTCAATAATGGCAGCATTTGAATTGCCACTCAGACCCACGTAGTGGATGGAAATAGGAGAAAATTCAGAAAGTCTGGGGGGAATTGGAAAGAGACCAAATTATGCTCAGTTGATTTATTATCAGGCCTAAAAATGCTTGGTATCTTGAAAAAATAAAACTACTGGCTTTGGCTCAGGCTGGATGATGCTTTCCAAAGCATTCATCCACTGCTGCCAATCGCTGTGCTATGATATAGAGGAAACCAAGCAAAATCTGTTCCTAGAAAGCCAGTTTCGTTAATTGTGAGACTAAAAAGGGCACAATTGTTAGTATTATATGTTATGCTAATCAGCTGTTATGCTTTTTTTTTTTTTTGCTTTTTGTTTTTGTTCCAGGATGGAAAAAGCATCCAGGCCAAGGAAAAATTCTGCGAATGAGAAAAAATAGAAAACCCGTCACTTCCCTGCAGGCGTAAATGTTTGACACTTGTACTAAGTAATTCTCTCTTGGAGAATTTCCACATGGAAGCTAATGTGTGTTTGTTTATGCTGAAATATCGACCAGGCTGCTTATGCCCTTGTGTGACATATTTTGACCACATTTGTAATGTCATTAGAGCATTTTTCTGAATTTTTTATTGACTGTATGCTGTCAGTAAAGTTCAAGAGGATGGATTGCTGCTGCTGGTGCTGTTGATTCATGTCCAACATTCCTCATTATGTATTTTAATACCGTATGAATGTAATGTATGCCTTTCTTTTGTTCAGTTACAATTTTTTACGTGAAATATCCTGAATTTGTTCAGGAATTCTGCCTTTTCTGTATTTTGATAACACTGTGTTAAGCAAATTACTGTACTGTGCGGTATTTTCATAAAAGTAAAAACTAAAATGATGTGGATTTCGTCTTCTTCAACCATTACCATGCACATAAACTCACAGAGTGTCTGCTTTTACCCTAAAAACTTGGCTGGTTTCTTCACTTTCCCTCAGTCACTTGCACTTTATCTTCAGGCTGCTCTTCCGTTCCTTACTAATGTTGCTGTCTTCCCTCCTTATCTGGTAATACTTTTCAAGGCGCTCGAGCCTATCTCATTCGTTTCAGCGCAGCCTTGAATCGGGAAGGAAGCAATCATGGGGCAGGGAAACACTGCTGTGGCAGGTTCATTAGAACAGCGCTGCATATTTAGAGGAGAGCAAGCTGCAGGTTTACAACACATGAGTCATGAGCTTTCAGAAATATTGTCTGCAAATGTTTTAGCAATTATAATGTAATTATAGTGGAATACACACAATAACACGCCCCATAGCAGAAAGCATCCATGCAGGAAAATGAATGCACATGTATATTTTCCTCCCAACCTCAGTTATTAAAAAAGAGTTTTAACAATTGCGTTTTGGTCAGTAGTTTTTTGCAGATAATATACTCTCTTTATCGTGAAGATAAATCACAATGGTCTATAATGTCATTAAGGAAAGCAGGCTGTTAGTATGAACATCCTGACTGCCTTAAATCTGTGCTCTGCTCCATCTCTTGTAATACAATAAGAAAGTGCCGTGTGATTCTTCAGACAATAAATATTTATTGAAGATATAAATGGAAACTACTCATCCATCTGGCTCAAATATAAATAGTAATAAAAGGGAATGCATTTGGCTCGGGATATTGCTTTGAGTACCAAAGCTAAATCATCTATTAAAAGTATGCAAGGCAGCAGTCATCCTA